TGAAAATTTTCACTCATCTCTACATCCCCAAGAGTAAACACTTTTTTTTCGATATTCTTGAAAAAATACATAAATATGTTCTTTGACATTAATTTCATAACGCAAAATAAAAAAATCATTTTAAAGTACAAAAGTATAGTACCATTTTTTATACAAAGTCGTCAATTAGCAAAATTTGACATTTTTTTCAAAAATAGGACTTCACGTGATTTTAGTTTTACTTTCTGCCAAATTTAGATACGATAGTCGAGAGCTAGTCTAAATTTAAAAATGATCATAGTGGGAAATTCCTCGTGAGCATAGTAAAGTACATGTTTTAAAAATAATAGAACTCTACAACAAATATTTTTTTTGAGAATATCTCGTTATTACATTAAAACTAAAAACCTATTCTATCAACTAATAATGCTATTTTTTTAAAAGATAAGACAGAAAGTGACTTCTATACTTTTAAAATTTGCCCAAAATTTAGGAGGTCTTTAGACCGAGCCAACTATATAATGAGAGAGTTTTTGGCAAAGTTATGGATATATAACATTTCATTTCATAGCGAGATCTACGGTGCTTAACAAACAATAAAATACAATATGTTTCTTTGGGAGGCATTTATTTTACCGACCGACAGTTCATTTTACCAACAAACTCAAAGGTTACATTTAACCTCCACACAACTAATAAAATGCTAAATGGCGCGCCATGTGTTGTCGGTAAAATGATTTTCAGTAAAGTAATACGTACCCTAAAATCTTTGATGAAAGAATTTCATATAACGCTCCCGGGTAATTTCAGCATCCTTAAATCTTTATATCTTCTTTTCGTGTAACTTACCGATTTTCTGGTTTAGAAAGATCGGTAAATTCATTGTGGATAGTATCTTTAATACGCTGTACGATATTGCTTTGTGCTTGACGTGAAATTCGCTGAGCCTGTTAAAATGGAATAAGCGAAATAAGTAAATAATTTAATAATTCAATTATACCTTTTACTTACCAATGAACGAATATGTTTATTAAAAAATCGTTTCCAACCACCATTTTATTTTGAAATTCTTCCCTATAATGTAATAAAAATATTTATCGTATTATTTTAAGAAAATAAATAAATAATGCTCAATTCTTACATTTATCCACTTTGTATTACTTTCTACTTGACCGTTACCAAAGCCAGCTGCTTTCCGATCTACATATATTTCGTTAACCTTTCTTTGTATATCTTGAATGATCATGGTCATTTGATTCTGTACATTTTGCATATCACTAGTCGTTGAATTATAATATCCTAAAAGAAATTAAAAGAAATTATTATAAAGAAAACAATAAATTATTAGTTACTTACGAATTTTCTTTTGTACGCTTCTATCTTCTTTTTCCATATCATCATTATTATTATTATTAGCAGCAACAAAATTAGTTGTAGAATCGTTAGAAATAGTACCATTTGTAATTGAACCATTTATAATTGAACCACTAGTGACAGCACCATTGGTAACATCTATTGAAAACATTGAAAATAAAATAAGAAAATTTATTATCAAGTGTTAGAAAATATCAAATCTGACAAACCAATTATATGCATATACATATACATACCTTTATTATTAGAATCTAGTTCCACTTTTGAACTTTTATTACGTGCTTGAATAATGTAAACGCAAACAATTTGTAAATGCTTGGATCTGAAAATTGCCATTTTATTTAAACAGTCATTGTAGGCTTCAACCAATTCATTGTTTTCAGCGATTTTACTACTGTCTAATTTACCATCTATTTCCATATCACCATCACATTCAATACATGATATAATATAATCACGTATGATTGCAGCTTTTGTCAAATCTTCAAGAAATCTTCGATGATTCCCAGGAATGTTTTGACGAATCTTGTAAATATAAGGTTGCTGTTGCTGCTGCTGTAAATGTGAATGAAGCTGATGTTGTGACGATGAAGGAGTTATTGGCGTTAATGGGGGTATTGGAGTTATTGGAGTTATTGATGATGGCGGTATTTGTTGAACAGATGTAACTGGTTGTAAAACTAAAGGTTGGATTCTTTTACGTTCATAATATTGCCTTGATTGAGACGATGTTGATGATGACGAGGATTGATTTGGTATTTGTGATTGTAGTAATAATTGCTGCTGCTGTTGCTTTAATAAATGCATTGACAATTGTTGTTGCTGATGTTGATGATTTTGATTTTGTTGTTGATTGTGATTATGATGCTGTTGATTATGCTGATGTTGTTGTTGCTGCTGCTGATGATGATGGCTTTGTTGTTGATGATGATGCTGATTTTGTTGATTAATATTATGAAGATGACTTTGTTGTTGTAGTATTGCTAATGATGTAGTACTAGTAGCGGAAGATGAGGAGGGATGTTGATGGTGAGGAGATTGAGAAGGATATTGTTGTTGATGATGGTGGTGTTGTTGATTAGATTTAATATGTTTCTCATGTTCTAAACGGTCCTTCCTTTCTTTTTCTTCACGTTCTTTTCTTTCCTTTTCTACACGTTCCTTTAGTATTCTTTCTTCTTTCTCTTTACGTTCAGCCTCCTCTTTTTCTTTTTTCTCGCGTTCCTTACGTTCCTTTGCTTCTTTTTCTTTTTTTTCTTTATCTTCGCGCTGACGGCGCTCTTTATCTTCACGATCCCTACGAGATTTTTCTTCACGTTCTTTACGATCTCTTTCTTCACGTTCTTCACGTTCTTTACGATCTCTTGCTTCTTGTTCTTTTCTTTTACGTTCCTCTTTCTCTTTCTCTTCTTTTATTTTACGCCTTCTTTCTTCTTCTTTCTTTAATCTTTCTTCTTCTCTTGCTCTTCTTTCAGATTCTTTTTTTAGACGTTCTTCTTCACGTTTTTTACGATCTTCCTCGGCTTTTTTTTCACGTTCAGCTCGTATAGCAGCTTCTTCAGCCAACCTTTCAGCCTCTTTTTTAGCTTTTTCCTCCTCTTTTTGTTGTTTTATGGCTCTAATTAAATTAGAGAAAAGTTTAAAGACTGTTTTTTTTTGGAGAAATAAAAATGTTTGTTAACTAATAAATTAAAGTAAAATTCTTTCAGATTTAAAATACCTTTTTTTATCTTTTTTACGTTCTTTTTCCTTTAATTTTTTGAGCTCACGTTCCTCCTTTAATCTATTTTCTTCCTCTAACTCTTCAAGTAATTTTTGTTGCCTTTCTTGCGCAACCTATGTATATGTGTATATGTGTGTGTGTATATATATATATATATATATATATAATATTAATTAACGTATATAAATTAAAATAACAAAAACAAAAATTTATGCATGCATGTATGTATACAAAATTAAATAACCATTACCTTTTCTCTGTAGGCATTTAATACTCTTTGTTCAAACATTCTAGCAGCAAATATTTGAAACATTCTCCTACCCTCTTCCATACGTTGCTCTTCAGTTTGCGGATCCTCATCACCATACTCTTCATCATCATCTTCATACTCTTCGTCGTCGTCGTCATATTCTCTTGATTCCATGGCAGCTTCTTCTTCTCTTTGCATTCTGCGCTCTGCAAGACGTTCCATCATCTCAAGAAATTTTTTGCCGCCATTTTTTAGAAAATCGTCAGCCACAGTTAAAATACCACCTTCTAATTTTATTGCATTTTAAATTATAATTTTTACAAAGGGGGGGTTTTTTTTTAATTATTAAAATAATTATTAAACACACATATAAATATATATATACATATTTAGAAGCAAACCTTTAACAGTTAGACTACTTCCAAAATTAAATATTTCTTTTCTTGTTTCACTATCGTTTTCACTTCCTTCATATTCATCGTCATCGTCATCATCCTCATCCTCATATTCCTCCTCATCATCGTCATCGTCATCGTCATCGTCATAATCAACATCATTACTATCATCATTACTATTAGTATTACTATTGCTATGATTATTGTTGTAGTTACTGTTGCTACTACTACCACCATTTCTATACTCAATAGCAGATGGGCCAAATTGTTGTTGATTTGCATATGATTTCAATTCTTCGTAATAAGATTCATAAAGTGTTTCCAATTCTTCTTCAATTGCATTTCTAATTTTTAAATAAATTTTAAATTTTAAATTAATATTTAATTAATTGTAAATATAAATAACAACAATAAAATTTTGTTCTTTACCTTTTTCTACCACATACAGAACATGAACAAGAATGCTTTTGTTGTTCTTTCATTTTTTTCAGTACGGCCTCTTTTTCCACTTTTACCAAACTTCTCCTTTCTTCTTCGCCTAATTGTAACCAAAATTCTCTTATCCTTTGACGTTCCTCATTATTGTTTGTATTCCAGATACCATCCTTACGAGACTTATGACTATGACTGTGATTATGATTGGGATGAGTGAGAATATCATTATTTTGATTACTAATTGATAACGTATTTTTACTTTTCTTCTTTTTCTTTTTCTTCTTTGCAACAGCCGAAGAAATATTATTATTGCTATTAGGACTTGGATTGTTATTATTGTTATTGTTATTGTTATTATTGTTATTATTATTATTGTTAATGTTGCTATAATCATTATTATTATTTGAAGTAGATGACGACGATGAAGAAGTTTTAGACGTTAGGTGATGGTGATGGTGATGGTGATGATGACTTTGGAGATGTTGTTGATAATGATGGTGATGGTGATGATGAAGATGATTATTATTAGTATGATTATTTTCTGCATCGTTACTACTAGTAGTAATTGAATCTTTACGTGGATAAGGCAACATTTCAGGAGCTTCAGGATCATAACCATCATCTTCCGAGAAGAATTCTTCGTCGTCTTCGACATTTTCTTCACCTTCATAATCACTTGTACAATTTATAGGTCGAGATTTTATTAATTGATTATGCGAACCATTAACCATCATGTCATTATCATTGTCGATTTCATTATGATTATGATTAATATTTATATCGGTTTCTTCAATATGATCGGGCAAGTTTTTCTTTTTGGCTTTTCTTCTCTTTTTCTTTTTATTATTGTGGTTATTACTGTTGTTGTTATTATTGCTAAGATTATTGTTACTACTGTTATTACTATTGATAAGCATTATTTATTATATTAAGAATATTACTATTAGAATTATAATAATATACGATTCACTTTTTTAAGTTAAAGATTATGAAGATTAATAAAACTTTGATGGGTTTGAATCAAGGTTTGAATACGTGAATGGTTGTATGGTTGTGTATTTATAAATTTATATATATATATATATATACTATTAGGCGAATTGGGGAGGTTAAAATCACACGATTTACAGATGATCGCTATGACTTCTAATGGAATAGCATTGAAAACAGGAAATTGTCCGAACTTGTTGAGATTGGATTGAGTCTGTTGAATCTTAGTTTAGATACTTTAGATCCATTCAAATTTCAATTGATCATGCGTAGAAAAGGTAAACAAATCTTATATCTATAAAAAGAAGTTATATATTGATTAGGGGAAAAAATAAACTTTTAATTTGAAAAATAAAGGCCTTGAAAGAGTTTCGGAAACAATTGATCAAGCTATTGAATTGGGCCTTAAACCTTTAAAAATCAATTCGGTGGTTATAAGAGGAATGAATGAAAATGAAGTATTAGATTTTATAGAGTTGACACAAAACAAGCCTATTTATGTAAGGTTCATTGAATATATGCCATTTAATGGTAAGGCAATATATATATATATATACAGTGTGTTAAGAAAAAAATTGGCCTCCGGAGATATAAAATTTAAAATGCATAATTTCCATATTAATTAAATAAATCATAACAAATCATTTTAGACAATAATAAT